AAACTGGGTTGTGCAAATACGTCAGGTGACAGATTTTTGTTTGTTTGTTTTTTAATGATGGGTCTCTCACATGCTATTGTTAAAACCGGGGCATGAATCTAGCAGAATGTACGCACGTATGGAGTATCACAGGACTGCAGCCATGGTGGACTTACGTCATAGCCTCTCAGCACAGCCAGGTGGAAAGCCAGCAACTGCAGGGGGATCACGCTGAGGATGCCCTGTAGGCAGTCCACTGAGTGTGGCACCTTGATCGTTCGTTTTGTGTTCTTAATGGTCTCGGTATCTTCCTTATCACAAATCACCACGGGGCGCCCCTGGGAAAGAAAACACACACACACACACAATCAGTGGCAACCAAAGGCAGGGCTGTAGTACATAGATGTGTACATTTTGTGCTGTATAATCCACACGTGGCCTCACTAACTGTAGCAGTTACATAATCTCCTGCCAACCTGAGCAAAGGGGAGTCTGGCCGGTCAATCAGGTCATAGCCAATGAGGCCTCTGGGTGGGCATGGCCTTCTCCTATCTTCCTCCCTGGAGCAGGACACACAGTCTCTCTGCTTGACATTCCGGTTGACAAACCACATGGAGCTACACTGATGGAGCCAGAGCCCTGGAGCTGGAGGAGCCAGACCAGCACCACTAGATCCACCACCACTGGAGCTACAAGACTTTCCACCCACTGGCCTGTGATCTTCCTGCATTCAGCATTATTGCATGGCTGCGGGAGTCTGAAGAGGAATTTATGGACTAGTGTCAGATATGTGGGCTAATACTGGGCTTAAGGACGTGATCTGGACTGGGATGTTTTCTTAATATACAATTGTTCTTTGACATAAAGTTCTCTCTTACACACACGAGTGTCTCTGACCTTATTTCTCTAGTCACCCCGACTAAAGCATTGCTGTAGACTCTATGAATTAAGTCAGAGAGTTGAGGAAATGAAGCCTTAGTGAGATTCAAGAATTTGTGTAAACTCACACAACCAAGAAATTCCAAGCTTGGTGTTTGGATCTAGGCCTGCTCCTTGGCTCCAAAGTTTATGTCTGTAATCACTATCTGGTGCCTTCCCAATAAAATTTTGTCCCTAGGAATAATGTCTTTTGGCATTTATATATAAAATCTACTGATCAAGAACTCTCGGTTCAGCAAAGTATCTGTAACACTAATGCCCGAACCAGACACAGTACCATCAGTCAGTTTTGATCCCATACAGAGCTTCCAAGGCTATCAAACTTTCGGGATGCAGACCACCTCATCTTTCCCCCGAGAGACTGGCAGGTAGTTCAGATGGTTCATCTTGGGGTGAGCAGCCCAACACCTAACCCAGGGGACCACTAGCGTTCTACCCGAATAGAAAGTCTGAATATGAAGTTTCTCCTGAAACACACATAGATGAGGAAGGTCCAGTCCCCAAGGAAACCAGAGAGTCAGCAAAACAGAAGAAGAGGCTCCCTGGAATGGGTTGACACCGTGGCCGTCTCAAGGGGTGCAGTGACTGCGAGGATGGCGTGAGACTGCCACGCTTTGCTCTGTCATCAACAGAGTGACTGAGGATAGAATGACTCCACGGCACCCAACAATGACCGTCAGAAAGGATCAGCATATGCTAATTGGAAGAGGGCACGATTTGAAGGTCTCAATTCTGGACTTGGTTCGACTGATTTTGAGATTTATAAGCTAAGACGTGTCAAAACTGAAGTCATATCCCTGGTAAGGTTGTATTCCAGAGCAAATGACTGAACAAGTGTACATTTGTCGTAGAGTCACCTAACTGGCACTGGTCTCTCATTCTTAATGTTTTAGAGACCCACCCCTGCTCCTCTCAGCAGCTCCCAACTGACCTGCCGAGCAACCACCTGCTGCAGAGCATTCTGGCACTTGGCATAGGTGTGGTCTCTCATGATGATCATGATGACGGGCATCAGCTTATCCACCAAAGCCAAAGGACCATGTTTCAACTCACCAGCGAGGATTCCTTCTGAGTGCATGTACGTAATTTCTTTGATTTTCTAACAGGAAAGAATCATGTTAGGCTTAGATCTGTCTTTCAAACAATATCCGTAAGTAAATTTTATATGAGCATCTGATGTCTTCAGTTACTATCTGTTTCCCCAAAGTCTTACAGAGCCACTGATCTATAAATATCAGGTTAAGGAGTCCTTACTACTATACCAACATGCTAAACAATCAGAAGGTTTGAGACTCTGCAAAAACCTTTGGAAGGTTTTTGATGATCACGAGCTTACTCATATTTCTGTTCTCCTACTAGCTTTGTGTGACCTCAATTCAACTTCATATACAGAGAATTTTATCTTTATTTTTTTCCATAGTTGAGCAACACAGCCCAAGTTACTTGAAACTTATCATACTAAAACGTATTTTTTTTCGACTTTTGAATTAAATACTGTTACAGCAGTATCTCAGGGTAAACAAAACCAGAATGCAAAAATTCCAAGGCACTTTTAAAAGTTCCACTTATCCTTGCAATCTAACAAGATTACTGTGTTCTAGGCTCCTGAATCAGAAGACTAAAGTCAATCACGAGGAAACTTACTAGGGCCCCTTCAAGACAGGTAGCATAGTGATAGCCACGCCCCATTATCAAGACTGATTTCTGATGGTAAAGTTCTGTTGCAAGTCTCTGGATTTCGTCATCCATGCTCAGCACTTCCTTAATCAAATCTGTAAAGAAATATTAGCAAGAGCTATGACAAGAAGAACAATGAACTGAATAGATCTATTAATAGTAATCTATTGATAGCAATCAAAGAAAGGCTAGTATTTTTATTCTTCCATAATAAAAGTATGGGCTTGTTTTTTAAAACTGAAGGTCTTATTGATTAAATAGTTACAAGCCAGAACTTCAAAAGGTAAAAAGAAAATGTCATGCACTATCCACTCCCTTAGACAACGAAGCTGCAACGTTTGATCTTCCTACCAGGCAGCCGTTTCAACCCCAGCATGATCTCTTTGCGTCTTTCTTGCATGGAGATCCGGTCATCACACATCATAAGGGCAAACATCACAAGGGACACGAACTGGCTGGTGTAAGCCTGAGCACCACAAACAACAACAAAACAGCAACAGGGTAATGAGTTGCGGTTGCATTTAAGATCTTGGGGTGGGGAAAAAAAAGATCTTGGGTGCTTAATTAGAAAACAGGTTAAGATTTTAAAAAAGCATTAGTTTTACAATATACAAGACATGTATTTTTAAAAACAGATTGGTAACGGTGAACTGAACCAATTAATCCACCATCAGTCTCTGTCTGAATCTCAAACGTACTCTTTCTTCTACCGTCTACAACGTGAAAACCCCTTACATTGCACTGGAGCCTTCTGAACGCCCCAGAGAAAGGAAGGAAGATAAGCAGAGGAAGAAGGTGGGTAGAGAGTAAATCTGCATGCACTGGAGCAAACGAAGTGTGCAATGGAAGCCAAAAGGCAATGCCTTACAGAATTCTCTTTAGGGAAGGGAGGGAGGGAAAACAAATAATAAATAAAGAGGCGCTGATACCAAGGGTTCAAGTAGAAAGAAAATGTTTTGGAGACAATGATGGCAACATATGTACAAATGTGCTTGATACAATGGATGTATCGATTAAAAAAATAAAAGTTTATTTTAGGAAAGTAAATACAAATAATAATCCCACATTAGCTGGCATGTGAAACACTCAGTTCCAACTGAAAGGCTGGTGGTTCAAACCCGCTAGTGGGGGCGGGGAGGACAAAACTTGAATCAACACAACAACATTAAAAACTGCTAAACCTACATATTATCTTAATCGATTCCTACAGAAATATCAAATATTAAATTGCCTATGGTCTGAGATTGTAAAGAGGTCAGAAATATTCCTTAAACCCTGACAGTTTTATAAGCAAAGTTGGGAATTTCTAATCAAGATTACAGAATTCTTCTGCTAACTTCACCAATGGATCCAAGGACCAGGATCAGTAATCTCCCTCTTTCACCCACTAGTATACAAACTTAGAACTGTCATACAAAAACAGTCTATGGCCAAAGACTCCCAAAGCTGTAAATAACCCCAAACCCTAAGTCTAGGGCCATCAAAGAAAACAAAGCCACTTTCAAGTATAAGAGGAATAAAAGTAAAATTGAATTTCCATACTTTTAAATGTCCTTAAATATTTTAAGACAGTAAATATATGTGCTATAAATAGATGCTTACTTTTTCTTTTTTCTTTTTTTAAATCATTTTATTGGGGGGTTGTACAGCTCTTATCTCAATCCGTATATACATCCATTGTGTCAAGCACATTTGTACATATGTTGTCATCATCATTTTCAAACACTTTCTTTTTACTTGAGCCCTTGGTATCAGCTCATTTCCCCCCTCCCAATGCTTACTGTCTGATTTGGAAGCTGTAAGACTATTTGAGAATTAAATCACTAGTGAAAATGAATAGTGTACATCATTTTGCATAGTGATAATCGATACTCAATAAATATTTACTACGGTTACTATAAATGAGAGCTTATGTGGCATGTGTTTATGTCTGACCAATCATCTGTACCTAAAAATCACACACTGGTTTTCCGGTTCCTGAAAAGTCTCTCATTCATAACATGGGTTACTGAAGACCTGGTTTACTTCGACATTAAGCTCTGATTGAAATTTTAACACTATTTTAGGGAGTAGAAATCAATTTATAAAGGAAGAATTTTCATTGTCCCTGCTATTAAGGTCAAGAACAAGACCATGTGGGAATACAAAGACACAAATAATTCATTTAAGTTCAAGCTTGAAATAATGGTTTGTAGAACAGGGATCTTGTGAGCTGGGTTCTAAAATTACAAAGAATAATGCCCTGGAGAGCAAAATGTCTAAAATATACAGCATACATTCCACACTTTCAAAATATACTGATCAACAGCAGGGGAAATTAGAACTTACAGTTTAAATAGATCAGACCATCAATAACCCCTCTATTAGGCATGAGATATTTCTCAGGAACGGAAAAAGCCGGGTATACTATGAGGTGCGATTGCTCAGAGCTGAAACACATGTCAGTTCTAGCTGAGAGATCCCTTACCTTGCAGTAGCGTCTACTCAGTAAAGTGATTTTTAAGTTGAGGGCAGAATACAGGTGATGTGTCTGTGAGTGCTAATGGAAAGCTCTTATTAACTTTCTGTACATTTGGAAATGATCCGAATTTTTTCAAGCTGCTCACCCTCGCAGGAGTACTACAAAGCAGCCAGGAGTAACCAAGTGTTCCAGCAGTACAGGCAGTGCCAGCCATGGAGTCTGCACAGCCACACACCTGACCTCCGTTGAAACACTTGAATCTTACAAGAAAAGAAGGGCACGGAGGTCTTTCAAATAGATTTCCCTCCTTGGAAAATGAAGAGCTACCCGGTGAAGAACGCGCATCGTCCACGGGACCAGGGCAGGCTCATCCCAGGGACTTAGGTACAAACCTTGATAAAGGGCTTGAAATTTCATTCTCACCTGAGAATCAAGTTTAGAGACTCAGGAAAGATCAATTTCATTCATTTAGGCAATATGACTCCACGCTAGAAGATATAATACAACACCTGTTTCCCAATGTTGAAACTGCATTCCATCATTTCTCATTTTAATGCCCAAACTGTACAACGCACCACTGTCTCCTGACCCTAGAGACTACAACCCTCGAGTGCCCAGCAATGACTCAAGGAAGGCTCGATCCAGTACCCCAAATTATGTGTGCAAGCAGACGGGTTGGCCACTTAATTGTAATGAGATCATTGTGAGAAGACCGAAATAGCTTCAATTGTATTATGATACAGATGAAAGACTGATCTAAAACTAAAATACAGTAATTTTGTTATAAAAGTGCGTGGAAAAATGGAATTTTTTCCATGAACATTTTTAAAGACCCTTGTATTCGTTTGCGGACTATTAAATTTTCTTTGATGATATTTTTTCATCTGTTCTTAATATTTATAGTTAATACTAAACATGCATTAAAATTGTAGTATGAGATGTATAAAGCACAAGAGAACATGAAAATCTTTAAAATAAAATAATGGGAAATTTGTAAGTGCTCATGAGCAGAGGTGTTAAAAATAGGCAGTTCCCAGTTGCAGGAAGGTTTTTCAGAAGGTAAGACAACAGCATCCGTTCAGTTGTATGGTCCCATATGCCACACATACCACGTAGCGAGCTATGAATGAAGAGGCCTTAGGCCGATGAAAGCTGCATTGTCCCTACACTAAAAGCTGCTGCTGAAAGCAGCTGGTTCTTCATTCAGTGACGGGTGGAAATCCAAGCACACGTTGCTTACATGTTTTAATCACCGCTTTCAGAAAATTCACTTTTCAGCTCTCTGAAAATTATAGTGTTTTCAAGATCAAATAGTCAAGAATCAAAAACCTCAGAAGAATAACAAATTTTCCACACAAAAGAACTCTCAAGATATTTTTAAAAAGAGGGGGAAAAATCAAATGTGATTAAATGCACATGAGTTTCGTTATCAAACCAAATCTGCTGAGACCCAAGCATCTTATTAGATAGCTAGCAAAAAGTATTCAACTTACATAGTAAAATAAGAAAATGAGGAATTAAAAATTTGGAATAATAAAGTAATACCATTGTAGAGAACACAGCCTCTCTGACATTTATACAACATCCTGTTTTTACTAACACGAAGTCTGTGCATATTTCAGTTCTAAAGACACAGTCTCACTAGGTCTTTAAAAAATACTTTCAAATCTTCACAGATGTAATAACTACAGAAAAAGATATCAACATATAACACTTCCACTTTTTTAATCTCCAAATTTTATACCACAGCTAAAAACACTCCCCTTGTAAGTGTCAAAGGTAGCATGCATTTTCGGGCATAATTTCTAGAAACCAGGAATAAATACATGAAAATGTCACCATGATTAGAATTAAACTGGATCAGGGTTCTACTGTGCGATCAGCCCTCACCTAGCGTCAGTAAGGAAAGGACATTATTCTGCCACATCTCCTCCTGCGGCTGGGGGGAGGGCTGCAGGCGCTGACTGGGCACAGCCAGCAGAGACCCGTTCAAAGCCAACTTACAGCAAGTTACATGCAGGTCTCTTAAATGCTGCGATCCACGAGTGGGGGTAACAAATCTTTGACCTGTTACTGCTTTGTAAGTCCCATAATGTTTAGCAAGTTGTATGAATCCCCTAGTTGCTAAAATCTAAGATAGAGATTTGTCTGTTTCGTCAACACTAAGAGTAAATAATCAACTGAGAAATACATCAGGAATCACCTTTGTACTGGCCACACCAATCTCGGGACCTGCATTAATGTGAACTCCACAGTCTGTCTCCCTGGATATAGAGCTACCGACTGTGTTTGTGATCCCCACAGTTAGCGCTCCTCTCTCCTTGCAGTACCTCAGGCCCATGAGGGTGTCTGCCGTCTCACCTGTGTACAAATTAAGACAACTCACTATAAGGCACAAAGGACAGTTTTAAAATGCTATTTCTTAGATATAAACTAAAAACAAGAAACTGATTACATGTTCAACAGTATCACTTGCTTTTATACAAAATATGAAACATGCACTCAAGTAAAAACTTTTAAACCAATAAAAATATGTTTCTTAACATCTCTTGTCCTTCTCTGTCTTGAAAGGTTCGGCTCTCGGAGAGGAAAAGGTAAAGAATATTATCAAATTGAGGTCTTTCTTTGAGTCATTGTTGTCAGGCTGTTTGTATTCTGTCTGGATTTTGAATGATTTTCTGTACATGAAATCAAGATTAGGTAAACCCTTAAAGGCAACAATCAGATCAATATATTTAAAGGGACCCGACGGGAGGCTAACAACAGGTATAAACAAGAACAAATGTCCCGGAATTGACTGTGGTGATGTTTACACAACTCTTAGGAATGTAACTGAACTATTGAAATGCATGAGCTGTGAATTATGTGTCAGTGAAGCTGTTAAAAATAAGCAAATTAATTATTAAAAAAAGAATTCTTACCCAAAGAAATCTGTTATCTGTAATACTAGTATATCTTTAAATAACCAAGGTATGCTACAATAAACACAAAGAACTATTTACCATCTTTTCGTGTCTTAGAATTAGCATACCTGATTGACTAATGAAAAAGCAAACATCATCTCGGAAAACGGGCGTGTTGCGGTCCAGGAAGTCGCTGGCGAGCTCCACCATCACGGGCAGCTCAGTCAGCTCCTCAAGAACTTGGCGTGTCTGCAGAAAAGGATGACTGAGTCAGATAACCTTATTTCAAATCTCCTCTTTCTCACTGTACTTCTGTGAACTCGGTATCTTACTGTCACTTTTTTTTAACTATAAAAACGATACGTGTGAATTGTTGGGATACATGTAAATCATTAAAATAGTCAAAATCCCACCACCACTGTGAACAGCGCACAAATTAACTCCTTTCTACTATCCCAAAACTAAATCACTGCCTTCAAGTCAATTCTGACTCCAGCGACCCTACAGGGCAGGGTAGAACTGCCCTTGTGAACTTCCGAGTCTGCAACTCTTGACAGGAGAAGAAAGCCTCATCTTTCTCCTGAGGGGCAGCTGGTAGTTTTGAACTGCTAATCTAGTGGTTACTCTAAATATCAGAAAATTGAAATGAGAAAAACAAACTTTTAGGCAGCAAATGTATATATTTATACAGATGTGTCCATTTCCCTGCCATCTAGTCAATTTCAACTCATAGTAATCCTATATAGGGTTTCTAAGGCTATAAATCTTCGAGTACACACACATAGCCTCACCTTTCTCCCAGGGAGCAGCTGGTGGGTTTGAACCTTCCACCTCATGGTTGACAGTCCAACCTTACCCGACAGCACCAGCACTGTTTTAATGACTACTGCAATGCTCACGCTTTTCCCTTGCTTCATTAAGGCCAGTGGCTCAGCCCATTTCTTGACCCACCTCTCATTTCTCCTTCACAGTATGAAGACTGTAAATATTTCCCTACTTCACAACCCTTTCACCTGTGTACGGCCAGGAATTTCAAGAGAATGGTTTCATTCTATTTGTTTCCAAAAGAATATTAAATAACTTTGGTTCAGCACTTTATAACAATCATGTTTAACATGATTAGCATCATGTACAGAAAAGGCCTTCAAAGATAAAATGTTCTCATTTTGAACCTTTCCCATCGTGATATATTTATTAAAGGTAAATAAGTTACTAGCACTAATATGCTAAGTGCTTCCCTTTAAGTCAATGTATATACTATATATACTCGTGTATAAGCGGAGTTTTTCCAGCACATTTTTTAATGCAGTTTTTGTGGTAAAATCGGGTGCCTCGGCTGAGATTCGGGTAGGCTTATACTTGAGTATATACGGCACATTAAACTTTAGAACTATGCTAATAAGTGACCTGTTCAGCAAAACCAACTCTTTATAAATACACAAAATGACATATTTTCATTAGACTGAGTGTCTTTGCATGCTGCTGAAAAGACCCAGAGTGGATTAAAAGTTTAGAAAGCACACTGTACTTAGAGCCACAAGGGACCTACTTCTTTATAAGAAAATGACATGTAGAGGTGATTTATTGGACTACCAGACTCTTGTACTTGTAAACAAATGTGCTTGGCTCAGAATTTCAGCTTCCAGGTGAACAGTGGAAGAGACGGGCAAAAGAGAAAGTTTACATCTCTTTGCACTTACTATGTAAATGCCTACTGAGGTTTACATATGACATTGCCATCTGACCAAGGCATGTGAACAACGGTAAGGAAAACCCAATGACCAGTCTACAGAAGCAGTAATCCTCCTTAAACCCATATCTAGAATCCTCCAACCCCAGCCCCCCCCAACCACCACCACCCGACACACACACTTTGCTTTACATGAAGTCAGTTTCAGGGCATCTATCTAAACTAAGGACCTCCCTTAAGCAGATCTTCCACTGATAAATTATCCCAAGCAGCATTCAAATTTCTCCCTCACCTTTTTGATTTTTATTACTACAAACAGGAAGGAGAGGCAGAATGGTCCAGCAAAGGACAGTTCTGCAGGGTGCCCACTGGTTCGCAGGACCGTAATGAAGTGCCTTAAAACTACTTACTGCTACGCCAGCGTGATAGCTTGTCCCGCACGCAATGAGAATCAACCGCCGACACCTCTGGATCTCCTTAATGTGATCCTTCAGACCACCCAAATTCACTGAAATGAAAGTTTGCGTATATAATTAATTAGTGAAGAAGCATCCCCATCGGGCCATCATTGGTCATCAGCACCAATCTAGGAAGCAACACGGCCAATATACAGAGCTGAGATTCTTCTTAAGGAGAAGAGCTCCCACCAATAGCAACTCAGAGATGAGATGTTGGGGGGAGCGGTGAGTCCAAGAAATCATTTTAGTTGAGATGGTTAGGATGGCACAGCCTAAAGAATACAACCAACATCAAGGAATTGTGCATGCAAAAAATGCTACATGGGGTGTACTTTACTGTGTGTGTTCACTACATAGACACAAAAATAGTCCACTCTAGGTTTGAAAAGGAAATTCAGTATGATACAAATAAGTCCGCCTAACTTCATAACTAACCTTACTCCCCCACTTCTATGCCCCCACATTCTACCTTGTTTAGTCATTTTACATGGCTGGGACTGAGCAAAGCAGCACTCGGGAGGCTCAGTAGGATAGACACTGGGAAACGAACTGCAAAGTCAATGGTTCAAGTCTATCAGTTACTCAGTGGGAGAAAGATGAGGCTGTCTGTTCCCCTAGCTTTACAGTCTTGGAATATGTCTCTATGAGTTGGAATTGACTCAATAACAGGGAGTAAGATTTACTAAATCTAAATTGTATCTCAAACTTGCCTAGGAAAAAATACAGTTGTCTTCATGTCCTATATGATGCCAAGAACATCACTCGGTACATAATATCACTTCCCTCTCTTTCCCATCTCAGCAAATTCCAGCAACATTTACCTACTGTCCCAGTCGAATACTGAAATGGGCTAGTTCCATCATCCAATCACTATTCTATCACTCCTCTGAATCCAATTCATGGACATCTCATTCAATTACCCCATTAATACCCACCAAAAAATATATACTATCCAAACCACTGGTGGCTCCTACCACTCTATACTCAACAATTCCAAATCTGGACGGAAAAGAAGACCTGTTGTGGAGTTGGAGGTTCACCATAAATCAAAGTCATCCAGTGTTTCTCCTCAGTTCCTAACACTTAACTTTTAGAACCTCAGGGGTTTCAGTAAGGTCTCCAGACCCAATAAACTAAAAACTAAGACACTTGTCATATAAATATGGCATAGATTTAGGAACAAAAGATTTTTGTATACCAATATTTTTTTAATCAATTCCTAACTGAAAAGCTCAGCTGAAAACTTGTTTTAATAAAAAAAAAAAACAATAGTTTATGGATATTTTATAGTTCAAGAATATTAATCTTAAACTCATCTCAACAAGATACACAAACTGCCATGGCTCGAGAAAGGGGGAAGGAGCCAAGGTGGAGACTTGGTGAGAGTATTTGCAGAGTCCATGATATGATAACCTCTTGCTACCCCATGAAAGTCCCTGAGACTCTTGTGTATGCATGCAGGGGCAACCTTAAAAACACTGGTATACATGGTGGGGAGGAGGGAGGGTTAGAAACACCCAGGCTGGCCAACTGGCTGGTATTTCCTTCCTTCTCATTCACTGCCATCAAGACAATTCTGACTCATAATGAGCCTACAGGACAGGTAGAACTGCCCCTGTGGGTTTCTGAGACTATAAATTTTGCAGGAGGAGAAAGCCTCACCTTTCTCCGCAAGAGTGCCGGGCGGGTGGTTTGGAATAGCTGACCTTGCAGTCAGCAGTTCAACACTGAACACCAAGCCACCAGGGCTCCTTTCTTCTTTCTAGTCTCTAAATAAAATTCTCTTGCAATGCCTTCATGTATTTCAGAAATAAATCTTTCTCTTGGCAAGGCAAGAACTGAATTCTGGTAACACAAGGTCTAGACGGAATTTCCAAGTATAAAACAAGCAGTGCACCCTCAAACTCTACCTTAAATGTAGGCAGAAGTAGAGGTTATCTCATAAGGCATCAGGGAAACAATTAAACGCAAAGTCCACACCTTTACTCATTTGTGAATTGAGAGCACCTAAGATGAACAGATGGATGATTTAAGTTTTACAATCCAGGGCCTAAATCTCATTCGTGTTCGAATCCATCGTACCCATCACGGTCCCTGGCACACAAAAGCTAAGTAGCTGACTGCTCAAGTGAAAAGGAGAGCCCGGTCTTAAGGGTACACTGGAGCATTTTCAATAGAGAGTGGTGATTTTCAGTAGAGAGCGGTGCACTGCGAGGTAACAGCTGTACTTGTCGCACAGGCTGAGAGTCTGAACTGCGGGTGGGGAGTTCACCAGATGAACTTTTGGGTTTTCTCAATGGGAAGCCCCCTCCCCCACTCACTTCACCCCAGGAGGGTGCAGTCATAAACTAATTCACATGTCATTACCAGTATAGTCATCAAAGTTGACTCTTCCTCTCATTGTGTTCACAACTGACTCGGGCTGCTCAAAGATCTCCTTCTGCATAAATGAACTGAAGTTGCCTAAAGTAATATAAATCACATGGTTAGAAAGAAAAACAAGCCAAAGAATACCAAAAGGAATTTGTGCATACCTCAAAGGCAATCTTGTTTAACTAATCATAATAAATAGAGAACATGTAATGTAACAAAGAATAATATTAATATATGATGGTTTAAGTAATTTTACCTACTCTGCAGAGAAATAGGGAAGGCGGGAAAATTATTTTTATAAATGCCATACCTAAAACATGAAGTTATTGCAAAAACTTAAGTTTTAGAATCAAATCTAGGTTCCTGTCATAATTCTATACTTTCTTAGCTAAGTGACTGTGGGAAAACGACTTAACCTGTAAAACGGGAACAGCAACTACTTCATAGGATTATCATGTAGATTAAGATACAAAGAACTTGACATGTTAACAGGTATGCAAAACATGTTGGCATTTATTCCAACTCCCTCAGAAAGAATACTAATCTACTAGTTAATCGTGTCACACATTGTGTACAGCATTATCCTAAATACTTCACATATTTTAGCTCTCATAATCCTCAAAACAGCCTCAATAAGATGGTCCCATCACCCCCATTTTGCACATGAGAAAAGTGAAGCACAAAGAATAAAAAATAGAACCAAAAAAAATCTATTTATGGTTATAAAGTTTCTTAAACAGCTTTATCAGCCTCCTTTTTAAAATGCTTAGGACAGCACACGTCATGAATGAGCTGGAAGGCGAACTGTCGAGCTAAAACCATCCTAGTTTCTCAGAAGGATCAATCAACTCCCTCTCCTAGGGTTATTCCTTCACCAAACACAAAGATTTCACCCAACGTGTGTCCCCGCAGACTAGGACAGCAGGGAGACAACACAGACACCAGATACAAAGTGACAAAGACTTTCACCCTTCATGATTTGCTGCAGTTCCATCTGAAGGGTTTGCACAGCTCGTCCGGGGTGGTCTCCGGCAGTTCGCTTGATTCGATGGATAGAAAGACGACCATCCACCACCGCTGCGACATCATCATCTTCGAGGAAGATGACACGATTGGTGTGCTCTATGACGGCACTATGAAATGTTTACGGAAATATTACAGCCAACAATTAAGCATTTCCCCCAGCATGTGCCCTCAAAGGCTAAGACGGGCTGATGAGCACAAGGACACCAGGTACAATCACTGGGACACAGGATCCACATGAAATACAGACTCTTATCAGCTGGCACAATCTCTGAAGGTATAGCTCCATTCAGTTATTCAACCCCCACACAGAATGTATTAGACATTAACTGGCAGTATCTATTAAAAGTCTAATGCTACAATTTTTCCCCAATTAAGTTGTATTTAACTTTTACCACCGTTTCTACTGACTAGCTTGATAAGTCACGATGATGAATAAGCCCCTGTCGCTACAGAGAAACACGGCAGGGAATTTATTCCACAGAAACATCGATACCGGGGGTGGGAGGGAGTAAAGGGGAGCTGATATCAAGGAGTTCAAGAAGAAAAAAAATGTTTTAAAACGGATTGTGGTAGCAATTGTACAATACTGCTCGATTGCACTATGGAATGTTATATTTTTAAAATCTCCCAACAAAATGATTTTTTTAAAAAAGAAAATCCAAGAAAAAATTATAAACAAACAAACAAAAAGAAACATCGATACCTATAATATGTGGGAAAATAAGAGATTAAAGGATTATGCAGCGTCAGACATCAAAAAACTAATGCTGTGGCAGAAGGACGGGCTTCCCGAACGATAGGATGCTTCCAGCCACACTGAGGAGGCAAGGGCTGCAATTTAGAAGAATACGGAAAGTATCTTGACCAGATAATAAGCTGTGCTTTTGTACTCAGGAGGGAGAACTCTTGGTTAGTGATGTACGTAACATGTGCAATTCAGGTGAGTCGAGTATTCTAAAACCACACCCACTGCCACTGGTTCCAACCCATAGCAACCCCCCCAGATAATTCCTGAGGGTACATTCTTCACCGGAGCAGACAGCCCCATCTTTCCTCCACACAGCACCTATTAGTAGGCCCTAGGACACAGCAGATGCCCAAAATATGCTTGATAAACTAACAAGTTGATGTTTCCAGTGGTGCACAGAAGTTGGAGGGTAAATTACCCTGCTATAGAGTATTCCGTACTGTTTGTCACAGCTGAAGCCCACACATTTGTGTGAGAGGCCGATTAATGTTTACTTCCTCCATTATACTCGGACCTCTTTACTCAACTTTCTGTCCTGTGCCTCACAGAGGGTTCGGCTTGCCATGTTGAAGAGAAACACACCAGTGACTGAGAAAAGGTGGATGTGCTTCTGCTTCTGCCATTTCCAGCTCATGTGAGCCCACACTGCCAGTCTAGTACCAAGCCTACTGAACGACAGCAGGGGCACAGCTCAGCACTGAGTACACAGAGCTCTATACACTGCAAAAATCAGAAAATAGTCAAACTTGCTTTCTCACCCATATGTTACATGGCCTGGATCCCTGACCTGCATCACTTTCTTATTTCAATGCCTCCTATTTTCAGGCTGAAAACAGTGACTGACTCAAATACTTCGTAAATTTGAGTGATTCCATTTAACATCATTATGACTATTTCATTTATGAATACATCTAAACATCTCATTACATTTTCTCTCAAAATGTCTCGTGCCCTGTTTACTATGCCCTGTAAAAGCCAATGACTATGCTGTGAACTGCTTCTGAGTTAAAAACACAAGTCTCAAAGCAGACTGAAACCACAGCGGCTTAGCTATACTGTAACTGAGGGAAGGCTACGCCAGAAAACTTTGTTCTAGTCTGTAATCTACACTTTTTTTCTGCCCACAAAACTTAGGGTAGGTTCCCAAAACAAGCGAATACCACCAACAAAATACAAGAGATCTCAGGTGACCACACTCAAACAAGTCTCAGAGACTGTCTGTGCTTAGTGAACCAAAGCATGTGCTTGAACGGGTAAGAAAAGTGTTTTCAGAAGTCTTTTCTCCAAAACGGTCACTTACATGTCGTTAATTGAAAAAAAGAATCTATTCTTCTACGCAACATAACTAACTTTATGCAAAACGGACGTCTTGGTTTCCTGTAGCATGAGCCATTTTCTGAAACAGGCTCTTTCAATCAATTAAGGGAGCTCACCTGGCATCAGAAGCAAAGTAATATTCCACTGCCTTTTCCTCAACAGGGAAAAGGCAGGTTGTGCTGTCCACCCGTGAGAGATTGCAGCTTCCTTTCTTGTCTTTGCCTAGAGCATAAAATTTACACAAACAAGTATAAAATCAGGGCCAATATAAAAATATGCATAATTCTCTACCAACTCCATACCACCACCACCGCCAACAACATAAAAATAGCAACAAAAAAATTACCATAATAATGTCAGCAGTCTTAAATGATAGAAAGGTATCTTATTTCCATGCAATGAGCCAATAACAACAGACGAATGTGTAAAGTGAAATAGCAACTACCAAAAAGGGCGTGGCAGATAACAGTGTTACATAAAGGTTTTTAATATTTCTTTTCCAAGTAACTACTATCACTAATTTTTACAAATCAAAGATACGTAATCTAATCTTAATTTATATAAAGCTCTATGGAGTTAACTCATATGCTTGTGTGGCTGCATTTGTAAGAAAAATAAGAAAATTGTGCAATGGAAAATAAAATGAAGACTAATGGCACATTTCTTTTATTATCCATAGTGAAAAGTCTCCAGATTTCAGTAGTACATCACTATAATAAGTCAAATTGGAGACTGTACTGAGTGATTCAGAGACAAAACAAAACATTCTCTCTCTCTGACCAAAAACAAGGAGACTTCAAAAAGTTTGTGGAAAATAGAATTAGAAGTGAATGGAATTTTTCCAGAAACTTCTTGAAGCTTCTCTCTTTGCTTAGATTGCTAGATTTCGAATGCTAGATTGGAAATATTACAAACTCAGAGAGAAGCTTCACTTATAATTGAGTTCTCTTAAAACTTTTAAGTCAGCACAAAGCATGGTCCTCTTTGCAATGATAATATCCTTTTAATTTGGGCACTGAAGAATTACGCTAGCATCTGCAAGTAATTTGATGCATCGCTGATGAACAGTATTTCCTTTCCACTCACATCGAATATCAAATCAGCATACTATAGTGTGACAAATTAGCCAGTTGTTTTTTTTATTTATTTAGATGTTGAAGACTCTATAACTACCTTTAGACAGGTATCTTCATTCAAATAATACAGTCGACCTCATAATCTACGAGCACTGTGGCCAGAACATTATCAGAAATATATTTATAAAACCTCATACTCTACTTATCCTCTAGAAAACACATGTCTATACACATTTGGTAACAACTAATCTTGGAGAAATATATTCAAAGTTCTCCACCAGCTACAATTATCTGATGTGCTTTGGGCATAAAAACAAGGTAACCCTTCCCATCCAAATTCAACAGCAGAAAAGATACCACAGTTCAAAAAGTAAGTGCAAGAGGGCATCCTAAAAAAGGCAGTACTGTGGAAAGGAAACCAGGTCGCTGCTTGCCGGGGGGTGGGGTGGGGGGTGGTGGTGGCTGGGAGTGGAAGCAAGGGTTGACCACAAAGAGGCAGCTTGAAAGAACTGCTGGGGAAGATCAAAGGATTGTGCACCTTAACTGTGGTGCTGGTTACACAACTGGTTTGCTTTTGATACAATTTTGCTTTGGGTGGGAGTTAAAAAAAGAGGTTAAAGAATAACACAACCCACACACCATAAAAAAGAATAACACAACACTACAAATACAAGGGCGCTTCAAAAAGTTGTGGGAAAATTCCACTCTCATTTCATTCCTGTTTTTTTCCATAAACTTTTTGAAGCCCCCTTGTCATTAAGTAGCTTTAGTTAATATATCCTAAATGGGTTACAATTCATTATGCCCTTTCTCCAAATACTATTTCATTCTTCAAATAATATTTAGTTATAAGGCATATTAAAATATTTAAAGTAATTGGAGGTATTATTACCAGTTAAGTGACAGTGTTACTATTTGACATCTATTTGGCTCTTGCAACTAAAAAAAATTTCCTCAGATATAGAGTATCTCACCTGATCTGAAAGATGGCTAACTTGGTCACATTTGCAGAAAACAGCAAAAGCCTGAAAACCAGTCCCATGTCCTCTCCCCCTTCTCTCGCTCTCTCTCTCATTCATTCCCTCCCATAGAGTTGGTGCTGACTCTTAACAACCCTACAGAAGAACTGCACCCGTTTCCAAGACACTAACTCTTCACAAGAGTAGAAAGCCCAGTCTTTCTCCCATGGAGTGGCTGGTGGTTTTGAACTGCGGATCCTGAGATTAGCAGTCCAACCAGTAATCACTATGCCACCAGGGCTCCTTTTCTGCCAGCCTTCACATACCCTCTATAATATGTATGTTCATCTATTTGTTTTCAACCAATCTTTACCAAACTAACTTTTAGCTTGCTACCAGGGCTAAAGAAGTAAGAGTTATTAAACTTAAGTTGTCTCATGACAAATTTTTCTTACAACTGCTTAACATCTTAGCCAATCCTCATCTTATTATTTCTAAAAGCAACCAAAGAAAATAATAAACAAGGTAACACATAGATAATATATACACAAACAGAATTATTAACCAAGTCTGGTACTCGGGATCCAAATACTACTATTCTCACTGGAAAACTAGTAAACTTCTGAAAAAAGGGGTGGAAAACCTAAGGCATTCTACCCTCTCAGGGCTAAAGGTTATGTAAGTAAAAACTCTGCTCCGTACAGAATAGTAAAAGTTTCCCGCATCTAAAAATGAATAGGCTAAACTAACTTTGCTAATTTTTTAGGAGAAAATAAGAATTACACATTTAATAAAATGGATTTCTATTTCGTTTATTTCCCACTTTCTGTCTTCTACATTGAAAGTTTTTAGGAATAGGTAAATATAAACAGCATACTGGTTTGGTTTGGGTTTTGTCTAATTATGTCAAAAATGATACAGAATTTGTATGGCTAAAAGTCCTGCAGAAAAATAAACTTCACAAGAAAGAATGACTCCAAATTCAAAGAAAGCAAATCAAGAGATATAAATCTAAAAGTAAGATCTCATGCAGGAAATAAAGATCACTTACCTATACTTCAGTAAAAAGCTAGGTTACAATTATATTTCTAAACAGTGAGGCTACATTTTAAAATAAATATCACTTAATTCAATCTATAACCCACACACTCATTTTGATACTACATGATCGTAACACAAAGGAAATAAAAAGCAACTTTATAATCTGAACGACTGCCTCAAGGAACTCAGATTTTAAGGAAACAAATTACTAAAAGCAGGTTTCTAAATGCCAAAAGCAGACAGACAAAATATAATCTGCAAATTAGAAAAATAACATCAAACTAGGTCTCCCCATAAAATAAGCATTTTTAGAGGCTCAGCACATTCATTCACTCCAAGAACAAGGGATTAGTAAAAATTGAGCAGCAGAGGAAAGGTTCTTCCCATCCATGCAAAGTGCATTTCCCACCTCTTTCTCCCTGTGATCCCCACCGTGTGAATTTTGATCCACTCTGAGTCCTAGCTAAGGATATATAACAGAAAAAAAGTCTACTAGTCAGAGTAATCACATAAGCAAGTCCATTTCATGTCTAGACAGAACTATATACATGGAGATCCAACTAATAGGGCATTTATTCAGAGTAAGAGAACAATTCTTATATCTACTGTACTTAGTTAAAAATTTCCCTATGGCACGATGTAGGAAGGGGTCTTACCTGTTCGGTAAAGTATGGGAATATGATCGGTAGAGAGTTTATGTTCACTACGTACACCAATCAACAGAGGGCTACCCCGCCTGTAAGAATAAAATTAGTCAAAATTTAACTTTTTATAAATAACACACTAATAAGAAATTAAATTTAAATTCAGTAAGTCAATATTCTTCCAATAATGTTTAAAATCTCTCTCTCTGGCACTACTCTGAAAATAATCAAGTACATAAACAGAATTAAAAACAAAATCTTTAATAGGGATTCAGAAACTACAGCTCAAGGGCCAGTCTTATCTTTTTTGGTAAATAAAGTTTTATTAGAATACAGAAATGCTTTCTTATTTACATATCATCTATGACTGTTGTTACGACACAACAAAAATAAGTAGTTGCTATGGCTTCCAAAGGCTAAGACAGTTACTCTCTGGACATGCAGAGAAAAAATTGGCCCAGCCCACATTTTATAGTATCATACAAAAGTTTGTGGAAAAATTAGATTAAAAGTTAATGAATTTTTGAACTTCTTTGAAGTTGTTCTCCCTTTCTAATGTTAAATGAAACTATTCTTTTCATTGAGCACAGACCCCTGAGATGAGCTTAGTTCTTCTCAGTCACCCTGCCAGGAGATCAAGCTTAAATATTCTAGTAAACGTAATAATAGTGCAATTATCTAGGAAATGACTGAGTAGTTCAACTGACGACTCTCCCTCCTATGGGAAAACTAGTTTTGTCTTCATTTACAACCCAATGCAACAGCATTTCACTCCAAATAAATTTGAGCCTTTCTTTAAATAGATCATAACATCTGCTCAATTCCTTCCTATGATTTTAGACAGGGAACAAATACACACCTCCAAAAATTCTGGAGGAAGTTAATGTTTCAGGCCCAAAATTATAAAGAATACTCGGGATTCACGTTTGCTAGAAATCACTACATCCACTATGGACAAATGGTCATTTAAAAGTAATACCAAATGTATTTGCTTCGTTAAGGAACTCTGTTCAAGTGTACAACAAAGAAGAAAGGCACAGAAAACAAATACAATCATTAAAATGAACAACGAATAAAGTTGTAACCCAAAAGTTTCAAAACATACAAAGTTACCAATGATCATCAAATTTATATGTACCTTGTGACAACCGCTTGCCCAGGAAAATGAACACTTTTAAAAACAAGTGCAAAAGCACCTTCCTGTGGAGAGAACAATAGTGCATTAGCAATATTTATTAGAATCAATTATCCAAAGTGAAATGTCACAGACTTTCAGCTCTGAAGTTTTTGTTCACACAACGGAACTGCTCTTTTGCACTAGTTTAGCAACAAATCTAAATCTTAGGGGTGGCACATACATTCTTCTTTTAGCCAAACTCACTCTCAAAGTATGCCTGACCACTTCCAAAAGCAGGGCATTTTAAAAGGCATTTTTACTTGGCGAACAACATATCTCAATAGCTAGATTACTTCTCTCACATTATGAATAAGGGGAAGGAAAAATCAGAAAGATTCCACATTCCATATCCAAAATCCATTCTTGAGCGGAGTAGTTACACAGCTCTGCTAACTTCCATTCTCTTGGTATGGGGGATGTAACAGTGCATATTAACATGCACACCCTGCCACCTCCTTGGGGCAGGCCCTAAAGAAATGAAGAGTGGAGAAAGCATGAGGAAGGAAAAGGAAGGACTGCCACAGAACACGAACTGGTGTCCACAAGGAGCAGGGGAAGCTGACTGAAACGAGGAAGGCTCGGAACGCACTCTGCCTTGGGGAAAACTGAGGAACAGACCTCTATTCTACCCATCTCTGCAGACCCCTCCCCCACAGCTGCAGACATCACAGGATGTGAGTGGAGGTGGGAGGCGAGAGTTGGACCAAAGCAGAAGTAAAGAGCTTTTGAATGCGAAGGCTAGAGTTATAAGAGAGGGAAGGGTGTGTGGATAGCGCCATGGACTTGGGCTTTTAAGGCTCTCTGAACTCTTTGCTGGCATCAAGGGTTACAAGCTGAGCTGCTTGCTAACTGCAAAGTCAGTAATTCAAACCCACCAAGTCAAAATGAATAGTATGAAACCCCAAACCCACTGCCACAGTGTTTGTTGATTCCACCCTATGGGACAGAACAGAACTGCTCCATAGGATTCCCAAGACTGTAAATTTTCAGAGGAACAAATAGCCTTATCTTCTTCCCATGGAATGGCTGGATTTGAACCACCAGCCTTGCAATTAGCTGTCCAATGCTTAATATACTGTGCCACCAGGGCTCCTTGATTAGTCTATATGAGTATTTAATGCATGTGTTATCTATATGTATGAAACAAAAGACAAAAATAATTATAGTTCCTGCTTCTTATGCTTAATTCTAAAAACTGATCATAATTAATGTGGTCAATAATGGTCTATAAAAGTGTTGTTTAGTACCAATTGTTGAATAACTCTCTCCACCAATGTAGTGAAACTGGTATCTTGACTTTCCCGGTTGTCATACATATACTTCACAAGCTTGGCAATTGTCTCTGTGTCTGTTTCAGATTCAAAGTCATAGCCTTTGCTTTCCTATAATCAGAAAGGGGGAAAAAATAGCACATTTAAGAAAATCATCCCAGTATCCAAACCTTTCTCCAGAATTTTTCCCTGAGAAACCTCACTAATCAATTTATAACAGTATTCTGAGTACCAAAGCCCATTACGCATTGCTCAAAATTGACACCACTATGCCAGTACAGAGGAGTGCTGGTGGCATAGTGGGTTACACACTGGGCAATAACCACAAGGTCAGCAGTTCGAGACCACTAATCAAGAGCAAGGTGAAGATTTTCAGTCTTGGGAACCCACAAGGGCAGTTCTACCCTGTCCTCTACGTTGGCTAGAGTCACAGTTGATTCCATGGCACTGAGTTTGGTTTGGGTTTTCTCCTAGTACTAACTCGCACTGCCACTGAGTCGATGCCAACTCACAGCGACCCTATACGACAGGGTAGACCTGCGCCTGCGGGTTCTGAGACTGCTAACTCTTTGTGGGAGTAGAAGTTCCGTCTTTCTCCTAGGACAGCAAACCCCAAATAGTGGAGTTGAATATACACTTAATCTATAATTATATAAACCTAAGTCACACATAAACTAAATAAAGTTTAGATAATTAGAAATGTAACTCATAAAACACTGGTTTTATGAATATATTTTTTAATATGATGCATTCTTTTATGATGATTTTGCCATCTGGTATAATAGCCACTAGTTACATGTGGCTATTTAAACTTTAACTAGTTAAAATTTCATTCATTTCCTCAGTCACATTAGCTGAAAACCTACATGTAGATTATGGCCACTATTAGGCAGCCCTGAGAAAAAAATCACCATTATAACTAAACCATACTATGTAGTATACAGTGATGTACGCATTTACAAGTTAATGTGCCGATTTTCATTATGTACCCTACAAATAGTTGTGAAGATGGTAAAAAAAAGTCTTTAATAATGCCAAAGGCATCCCTCAAATTTTAGTTTGTACTTTTAAGTCCTTTATAATAAAAGCAAGTATTTATTGCTTTTATATTTAAGAAACAAAGAATTGTCCCCTGTCAACAGGAAAAAGGTCCAATGAACCATTAAAGCCATGAAATTACCTAAGAACCACTGATCATACCTAACCACTACTGCATATCACAACAAACACCCTCACTGCTCTCTTTACAAGTTCTACCAAAGGTTGGCGTCCTCTGAGGTCACTTTGCTTACCAAAAACTTTTTCAAATCTTTGTAGTTGGTGATGATTCCATTGTGAATAACAATGAATTCTAAAAAATAAAAAAGCATTGATGACAAAAAATGACAAGTCTGAGAGACATTTTAAATGGTCGTTACTATGAACACAATTTCCTCAGTCAAAAAACCTTTGTCACATGCATGTCATATAACAAGCAGGTTACCATCTACTTTTTACAATTCAATTATCCTCAGCTCAGGAATACTGTTTGTGTGGCTTACTGAAGAACAGTGAAGGGAGGTGGGTTAGAATAAAGTGGGTGTCTAGAGACATCACTGTCAATGTGGCTATAAAACTAAATCAAGGTCACTCTAAGAAAGGAGAACATTTATTAGGCAGTTTCCTCATTTGAGGAAGTGACAGGCTTACACTGCTACTCTGACTTCTCTGTTCATTCACTCCTTTGCATAAAACACTGTGATTTTAGCTTTAAAGAAGTTTGGCAAATGAAAGTAAATTACCTGATTTATATTAAATGATTTTAAGAAACAAAGTAACTTAATAACCCAAAAAAGGGAAGTTATCATGATTTACATTCAATTCACATGGCTTCATTCAGACAATTTGTAAAATGTCAGATAAGTAAACATTAAGTGTCATTTTACAATCAAACAATCTAGGGGTAATTTTCAACATTTTTTTATTAACTCGGATAGCTTTGTAAAATGGGAAAAGGAACAATCAAGAGCTGACAATATTATTTGAAGCTAGTGACAGTACACACTAAAACCAAAATCAATTTGCTACTTAAGAGTTCACATAATCAGAGGAAAATTACTGTGAAATCAATTTTCTATTAAATTACAGCATTCTGAGCTGACATCAAATGAGTTTACATTGAACTATAAACTAAAAACCAAATGTGTTGCTATCAAGTTGATTTCAACTCATAGTGACCCTGTAGCACAGAGTAGAAGTGCTCCCTTGGGTTTTCAAAATTTAAATCTTGATGGGAGTAGAAAGCCTCATCTTTCTCCGAGTAGTTGGTGGGCTTGAACTGCTGACCTTGCATTAGCAGCTCAGTGGGTAGCCCACCACAACACCAGGCTCCTCGAATTGAACTATTGTGGCAGTTGTATAATCTCCTGTCAACTTGTGAAGGGATGGAGTCTAGCCTGTCAATCAGGTCACGGCTTAATGACCTCATTTGAAGGTGTGAAGGAGATGAATAGCTCACTAAAGGCCAGATACACTCTCTGCTTGACTCATTGCTACGCATTTCTGTTGACAAGCCACATGGAGCTATGCTGACAGAGCCAGAACCAGAGCCAGAGCCAGAGCCCTGGAGTTGGAGAAGCCACATGGAGACCCAGTGCTGAGATATTTCCACCACCACTGGATCCACAAGACTTTCCACCCTCTAGCCTGTGCTCTTCCGGCATTCAGCAACATTGCATTGCATGGATGCATGAGTCTAAAGAGGAATTAATGGACTAGAATAAACATATAGGGTAATATCGGACTTACGGACTTGATCTGGACTGGACTGGAATGTTTTCTTGGTGTACAATTGCTCTTTGATATAAAGATCTCTCTTACAACTGAGTGTCTATAAATTTCTCTAGTCAACCCAGACTAACACAACTATGTTACTAATTAAATAATTAAATAAACATTTTCACTGGATTTGCAAGTAACAGATATTATAAAACAAATTTAAGAAATAATGTTCATTTTAAGGCAGAAAATGATAAAAAATCTGACATAAAGCTTTAAATTAAAGCTGAATCCTCAAAATATAATCTAGGTTTATCGTCAGAAATTTTTTATAAAGGCTCTGTTCTTATTAAATATTTAACAGGTGTAAGCATTCTAATACAATTCAATATTGATTTTGTGAAATATGAGAAGACAAAAAGGCAGCTTCTGAATTAATGTATGTATATATATACATATATACACTTATAGACCTATGTATGTATTGTCCTATTTTTAAAAATAGGATAGCTTTAAAATTTATTAAACAGTTGTCTATAAGGAGAGATGGAAAATAAGGTAAAGAATATAGGATAAAACTAAACTTTCACAAAAATATTTTTTAAAAACCAAACTTTCAACTATATATATACACATTTGATCTTTATAGGGTGACTTTTGAATTAGGCAAATACTTTCGATAATTAAAAGTAAAATTATTTTTTTAAGTAAAATTATTTTTAACGAGAAACATTATGTAAAAATCAAGTAAAATGAACACATACTAATACAATGCCTCTCCCCAGAAGAATTTACTTCAGAGGACAGTACTGAAGCTACAGCCCAAGGAAAGGGACATGTCTGATCAGAGCTCACGGGAGCAAATGAGAGGGGAGGAGGAGAGAATGGAACACATCCTGGCCACCAAGCCTTGAGGACGATATCCCTGCTCAGAGCAGCCAATGCACAGAGAAGACCATATGGCCGGCCGACTACCAGACACAACATCCCTCACTGACTCATAGCCCTACAGGGGACAACACTGGAGACAGTGTGGGGATTGTGCCCAATCTGACCCCGCCACACCGAGGAAGACACTAAGGACATGCAACAGACCAGCAAGGGGAGCAGAGCAAGGAAGTCCCGAGGGAAAACCAAAAATGGACTTTAGGGGCAGGGCATGGCACCCCATCAGACTCCACCGGAAAACACTCCTAAAGGTCAACAAATAGACCTTGAACTATTTACAGGCTTTTCTTTTGTTGTTGCTGTTTTGTTGCTTTGTTTTGCTCTGTCTTGGTTTTGTGCATATTATTTTCTCTGCAGGTCTATCTAGATAAGCGGGATAAACAATCTGGAAGAGAAAACAATGGGACCGATGGTTTGGGGGACCTGGGAGAGGGGGACGTGGACGGTAAGGAAGTGGTGTTAACAAACCCAGGGACTAGGAAACAACAAGTGATCCAAATTCGATGGTGAGGAGGATGTAAGAGGCCTGGTGGGGCTTGATCAAGGGCAATGTAACCAAGAGGAATTACTGAAACCCAAATGAAGACTGAGCATAATAGTGGGACAAGAGGAAAGTAAAAGGAAACACAGTGAACCCTCGTTTATCGCGGTTAATCGGTTCTAGACCCTACCGTGATAAATAAAATTCCACGAAGTAGGATTCCTTATTTGTAAATCAAAT